CACTGAGGCAGGGGAGAGCTTGAGCCCAAGAGGTTGAGGCTGCAGTGAGGCATGAAGGCACCACTGCACTCCAGCCTGGGCAACAGAGCCAGACCCTGTCTCAGAAAACAAAACCAAAGGAAGGAAGGAAGGAAGGAAGGAAGGAAGGAAGGAGGAGGGAAGAAGAAAAGGAAAAGAAAAATGGAAAAGAAAAGAAAAAGGAAAGGAAAAGAAAAGAAAACAAGATATTTGGGCATAACTTAACAGGCTCTATGTTATTATCATTATTATTTAGAGACAGTTTCTCACTCCTACACCCAGATTGGAGTGCAGTGGTGTCATCACAGCTTGCTGCAGCCTTGACCTCCAGGGCTCAAACCATCCTCCCACTTCAGCCTCCTGGGTAGCTTGGACTACAGGTGTGCACTACCACGCCCAGCTAATTTTTTTTTTTTTTTTTGTATTTTTTTGTAGAGGTTTTGTGGTGTTGCCTAGGCTCATCTCCAACTCCTGGGCTCAAGTGATCAGCCCACCTCAACCTCCAAGAGTGCTGGGACTATAGGATGAGCCACCACCCCAGCCTTCACATATTCTTTCGATCTGTTATCCCTTGGATTGGCAGGGTTGGCAAATTTCCTGGCATTGGTGCTGCAATGCTGCCTCCTCCCATGCTTGAGGCAGGTGCTGCTTCTCAATCTTGCACCGTTTCCCGCTGAGCATGGGCTTGCCTTACAAGCCTTGTCCACTCAGGGCTCCAGAAAGTCACTATCAACCAATGGAAACAAGCGTACCCAGTGAACCACCTTACTGTCCTAGGGTTCTAGCCTGTGTGGTCTTATTTTTTGCCTTTATCGATGCCATTTTTCGGAAATGGACCCAGTAGTTAAGAACTCTTAACCTTATTATGCATATTTTGAAATTAAGTAAAAATATATAATAGCAATAATTAGTTTGGATTCCTAACTAACATGAACATTTAAATACCTAACTGACAGATTTAACGATGAATCATTTTGTTAAAGGTCTTTTTCCTACATCAACCGAAGATTTTAATTCTAGATGTACACATGGTTCCCTTAACTCTTTAAAAGTAAAGTGGCCTCTGTTTTCTTTCAGCCTCGGAGCTTCTCATGTGATTTAATAGCATCGATGGTTCACAATTTTCTAGAGCTCTGCAGCCATCTTAAAGCTGATATTAATGTTCTTGGCTTTGGGCAATGAATAATTAATTATGCTGCAAATAGCTAAATTAGGAAAGAGCCTATGGGAGAAGCCCTAAAAGAATGATCCATGGCAGGATTTGGGGAAGAGCTGGAGGTGCAGAAGTTGTTCAGACAGGAAAAGTGCAGCAACCATGACTGTCAGTGCCTTCACATCAGGGTTTTCAGTCGCTGAGCCAATGGGTCCATAGCCGATGTCAGCTAAATGCCCCTGGTGGTGAAGAGCTCCACACTCCTTGTGCCCCTGGGGCATACTCCGTCAGGAGAATCAGAAGTTGAAGCAGGCCGGCGCGGTGGCTCAAGCCTGTAATCCCAGCACTTTGGGAAGCCGAGACGGGCGGATCACGAGGTCAGGAGATCGAGACCATCCTGGCTAACACGGTGAAACCCCGTCTCTACTAAAAAACAAAAAACAAAAAACTAGCAGGGCGAGGTGGCGGGCGCCTGTAGTCCCAGCTACTTGGGAGGCTGAGGCAGGAGAATGGCGTAAACCCGGGAGGCGGAGCTTGCAGTGAGCTGAGATCCGGCCACTACACTCCAGCCTGGGCGACAGAGCCAGACTCCGTCTCAAAAAAAAAAAAAAAAAGAAGTTGAAGCAGAATCATAGGAGCATTTGGCCCCATTCTCTACTTAATTTTGTTATCGGTGACTTAAAGAGGGACCAACAGAACACCTTCCTGGGCCTTGAGGGAGCTCTCTGTTGCCATCACCAAGGCCCCATTGGCCCACGCTTCTGCCGCGGTGGGTACCAGCTCTCCTGGGAGTCACATGGCCACCTATCAAGGGGAAGGGGCTACTTCCCTCCTAGAGCAATGGCACCTGCAGGTAGGAGCTGAGTGGTGAACTCTAACCTCTGCACTCTGCACTGGGCCAATACGGATCTCCCCCTCCACATTTGACAGTCTTCATCCCGCCATACCAGGTATCACCATCTGCTTCAAAGTCCCCTTTACTATTTTTTCTACAACTGCTAGAAAACCTAAGGCCAAATAGGTCAATAGTAAGCTGTCCCCTAATTTCTAAGATAATGCTGTATAGCTTTAAAAAAGAAGTTCAACAATCCTTATTGCATACTATAGAGGGAGTTCTGCGTCCCGGAAGTTGAAAGTATGGTAAAATCCCTCCTTATCATTCTTAGGGTGCTAGCTGTCCCAGGAGCTGGAAAGGTGATGCAGAAATTGCTGCTTCTTATAAGGCCATGACCTCTCCCTAACCCAGGTGAGGGTCAAGGCAAATGGTCATTTGCCACTAAGTTATAAATCTCTGAGCTGGAACTTGCTGGATGTCAATGCTTTGAGAGATATGAGGCCTGAGCCTGCATCTGGGCCCCACTCATTCACTTCCTACATCTGTATTCTGGTTAGGCACTCCGCCTGGCTGCCTGCTTGTACTTAAGCCCTCCTGTACTCTGGGACTAGGGGTACGGGTGAAGAGAGGGTAGAAGAGGTGAGTGAGTGAGGGAAAGAAAAGGTAGTGGAGTAGCAGGATGGGAGGGGGCTCTGGCCAGGATGTTGTGTAAGCAGAGCCCAGCAAATTATCTCTGTTCCCCTTGGCCTGACCCCTTTTCCCAGGAGCAGGGCCTGGCAAGCAGGGTTGTTAGGTAACAGTTTCAACCATCCTCTGGTGGGTTACATACAAAAAGCAGTTCAGAGAGTCAATGAAATGAATGATAGTGTACTTTTCTCGCTATCCTAGCACTCTGGAGGTAAATGTGTGCAGCAGTTAACTGCAGACAGGGAGAGAGAATTCTACAACAGAGTTGAAGGTTGGAAACATGAAACAATTGGGGTATGATCCAAGAGATAACAATATGGTTTAACTGGTTTACCTCGTCTTGTAACCTAAAGAATAATTTCCATAACCCAGTTAACATTCTACTCATTACAGTATTTATGACTGTATATTTCTTTAAAAAGAGTTGAGGCTACGCACACAAATAACTATTCAATGACAAAGAATGAGCTGAGGGCTACACAGTGGCCAGAGAGCAAGTATATTATAAAAGGCTTTGGATCTTGGAGATTCCAATACCCACTAACCCTGTAGGCACTAACCTCTTATTTTTCTCCTTAGTCAAATGGATTTAACAATCTTTGCCCTGCCGTTTTTGAGCAAATTAGCAACAATATATAAGGGCAGTACCTAGCACAATACCCCAAATCGCCTAACACCTCCACAAATAATAGCTACCACTATTGTGAGAGTTTTAAGTCAAGCTGTGAATAAAACTCTTGTGTCCACTTAAATATACCTGCCCTGGATGTAAGCATCCAGAGAAATCAGGGAATGCCCTAAGACAGCCCTAATCTAAAAGCCTACAAGAGTCTCAGTGGGCTTCAAGGAACACACTGTTCTTGGTAGGAGAAGGAACCTTAGCCCTCTATTTGCCTCCTGGGCCATAGTAATATTGATAATAGCTGCTGCCTTTAGTTGAGGACCATGTACGTCTGTGTCACTGCACTGGCCACTTTACTTACACTTTCCTGCTTTGTCCTCACAAAAATCTTGTAAGGTGTGTATTGGTCCCATTTAGCAGGTAAGAGAACGAAGACCAGAGGTCCAGCACCTTGCCTAAACCACACCTGCTGGGATTTAGACTCAAGTTCAACCGTAGAGCTCAAACTCTCAGCCACTTCCCTAAAGTCCACCTCCAGCTACATTAAGTAAAAAAATCCAGAAAGATGCCACCTGGGTGTCTGGAACTGCCTCCTCTGAGCACCCGGCTCTCCCCTCCCTGCGGACTCTTCTCTAGAGAGGATGTGATGCTTCTTACTTTTCTCAGATCCCTCTCCCCACCCTGCGAGTGACGTTGTGCCTATGTGCCTGGTGGGATAGGGATCTGGGAGCTTTGCCTGTTTCTTGCACACTGCCATCCCCTAGTCCTAGGGAGCGAGCTCTGTACCCCTTTTCACTTCTCCTCCGCGTTCTCCTCTCCTCCTTGCACTCTACAACACCCCTGGGAATGTCCCCAAACCTGATCGGGGCATGCACACCGCGGTGTGCGTGTGCGTGTGTGTGTTCCTGCGCGTGTGCCGGGCGCGCGGGGCAGGAAAAAGCGCCTAATCCAGGCTCTGCGTCACTCCCGCAATTGGTTAGAAATGGAGTTTCCTGGTGTTTTAATCCCGGGAGGGCACCTTGCCTTCGCTGTTTCCCAGAGTCCCTGATTTTCCTGCCTTGCATGCCTGCGCCCCATAGGGCATCCGTGCCTCAATTCATCCCCTGCCATCATCCAAGGAAGGGGTGAGGGGTAAGGCGGGGGAGAACGAGGTGGGTTGGTCGTCCCCTGGCCTCCGCCTCCCATGTTGTGTGCAGTTTCCACCACGTCCGTTTCGGAGGGAGAAGGGGAGGGTGCAGATGAGGCGAGGCTCCTTCAGGAGCGCGGAGAGCGGGCAGGCAGTGCCACCTGCTGAGAGCCACTCAGGCCGAGCGAGCGGCGGGCAGTGCCACCTGCTATAAATAGGCCGCCAAGGACAGGGTGTGCGACTGCACAACCCGCCACGAGGGCCTGCATCACGCGCGGGGCCCCGCGCCCCCGTCTCCCCAGGGAAACGCTGTGCCCAGATCCTGCGCAGGGGGCTGGATGGGGCGGCGGCCGGAGTACCTCCCCCCATTTCCCCTACAGACACTGGCTGAGGATGGCCCGCGGGCTTGGGGGCGGGGGGTGGCAAAGAGGGGAGGGAGGCCGCGGCGGACCCGCAGTGCAGCAGCTGTTGCTCGCGTGTGACTCGCCCGTCCGGGCCGTGGTGCCCGGGCACAGTCGCACGGCGCAGTGGGGAGGAGGAGGACACCGAGTCCCCCTCGCAGCTCCCCGGGGACCGAGTGGGGAGATCCCGGCTCCTGTCCTCTCCTCGCCTCCCGCGCGCTCGCCCAGGCTGGGAGGAGGAAACGAGAGCCGCGCGCAGACACCTCCTCCTCCTCTCCTCCTCTTCCTCCTCCTCCTCCTCCTCTTCGGCTGCTGCTCCTGGTGCAGCCACAGTCCGCCGGTGCCTGTTGCTGCCGCCGCCGCGGGACCCGCTGTGTCCTCAGCCGGGTGGAGAAGAGAGGGGCGCAGAGCCGAGGGGAGCCCCCTCCCCGGCCCCCAGCGGCGGGAAGAGCGCAGCCAGCCCGGCACGATGGACGCCCCGCCCGCCCAGGCCGTCCCCAGGATGCCCCCAAGCACCTGCGCGTCCCGACCTGGCCCCGGGCTCTGAGCGCGCCGCGGCACAGGTAAGCGCCTTCCGGGGCTTCGACCTGGCCACCCCGCTGGCTTCTCTTGGGGCATCGCGGCCGCCCCCGCCCCCAGCACGCCCCTGCCCCGCCTGGCCGCGGAGGGAAAGGCATCTGGCCGCCCACGGACGCTCCTGCTGGCCTCGCCAGCGGGGTCTCTCGGGGGAGGAAGTTCATTGCCATCTCGTTGTCCCCCACACCCCCCCCCCCGCCCTTGGGCGAAAGCGAAACCTTGATGTTGCTAGCGACCCGAGAGCTCCGCCGGCTTCACCCCCAACCCCCACCCGCTCATTGGTCCGCGCATCTCTCCCCTCCCCCCTCCCGCCAAATATCTCAAGGGCTAGCGTGTTTGCAAGGCGACCACATTGGGAAGAGTGTGGTCAGAGTGACCCCAAGCCACCCTTTAAAAGTTCAGGGTACTTTGCAGTTGTAACTTTGGCAGCTCCACCAGTGCGCGCAACATTTCTTTCTATGGGCACATCCTGTACCAGTCATTTTGAAACCCTTCTGAATTGTTTCTAGCCGCTTCCTGACGGCTCTGTGATTATGAGACCCCCTCAAACTTCACCAGGCATTAGGTTTTGTTTTTGTTTTTTTTTCAAAGAGGTATCATTTTGTTTGAAATCCACCTAGATGTGACTTTTCCTGTTTTGATTTTACTTAACATAGCTTATTCTCTGGAAGTTACTTTAAAACCAAATTGAAAGTGATGGTTGTTCCTTCCACCAAACAGTTTAATTTTCAGGGTGCCCCCTATTAATGGATATGTTTTCACTTCATAGATTTCTCATTGTTTCCTTTATGATGGGATGATTTCATTTATTAATAAAACCAGACTTTGAAAGAGCATTTAAAAATGACCTGGTTTAAATAGGTCACACCCAAGAAACTGAGCTCTCTGTACAGGTTCAGACTTCTGAACTTTTTGCACTGGACCTAAGCTGAATGCAGAGGCCCTGGTCCAAAACCCTTGGTTAGGAGGGCAGAAATTTCTTCTCTAGATGTGAACTGGGATTGGTAGGAGTTGGAGAATGGCCACCTCTGGTTTTTGTTGTGTTTTGGAAGTCAGCTGTATGAGGGAGGGATTGGGGTGGAAGAATGAAAGGAGAGCTGCTCCCAGAGGCTGAGAATCCACCTTGCAGAACGACTTTTTACATTTCTTTTTTTTTTTTTTGAGACGGAGTCTCGCTCTGTCGCCCAGGCTGGAGACTTTTTACATTTCTGACTCTTCGTGTTCTGTCACTCCCGTGGGTTAGGAATACCTGAACAGGTGAGTTCGGCACCTTTTTCTAGAGTTGAGATGGCTTCTCTTGGTCGGGAAAGAAGTGTGCGTCATCATCAACTTCCTAGGAGCTGTCTTAAGGAATAAGGACATGGCATGAAAGAGTTTACATAGTAAAGGTTTAACTGCTTTTGTAAACAGGTGTTTTACAACGATTTGAAATTGGATGCTGTCATAGTCTCACAGTCTGCCTGTTTCCTGTTATTTTTTTCTGGCATGTTATAGAAAAATAAGACCCCAACAAGTGCTTTCTCTCCAGATTTATCTATAAGTAACCATTGACATAACATGTCGCTACTGGATACTAGCCACAGCTGTGAGTTAAAAGGTATCATATAAAATGTTTAGGCCAGGAGCAGTGTCTTACACTTGTAATCCCCACACTTTGGGAGGCTGAGGCAGGAGGATCGTTTGAGCCCAAGAGTTCAAGAAAGATATTGAGACCCCATCTCTACAAAAATTTTTTAAATGAGCTAGGGGTGGTGGCACCCACCTGTAGTCCCAGCTACTTGGGAGGCTGAGCCAGGAGGATCACTTGAGCCCAGGAGTTCGAGGCTGTAGTGAGCTATGACTGTGCCACCTCAGTGGAGCCTAGGTGACAAAGTGAGATCCCATCTCTTAAAAAAGAAGAGTTTAGGGGATATTTTCTGAAGTGAACACAAGTAGAGTATTCTAACAATATTGAGTGCAAGGAGACATGGAAGGGACTAAGTGGTTCAAAGCAGGAAATAAAATCATCAGGTGATAATTAAAATCATTTCTTTGATGTGGATTTGTCCAGTCATTTGCAAACCAGGAGAATGGGAAAAAAAAATCACTGGTGTAGTTATAAATTATTGCATTCTGTTTTCAAAGGAAAACGTTGCAAACGCGTCTCCTTGTCATAGTCTATTGTTATCTACCCCACTGAGAGTGCTGGGGCTTCCCCTTTTCACCATGACAGCATTTCCGGTTGGGTGGCAGTCATGCAGTGTTGACCTGGTGTCCCATAAGGCATAGTTTGTCAAAACACTAGTGGGTATTAGGAGGAAACGTGCAACTCTGAAGCAATAGAGCTTGCCCCTTCTTCCTCATTATCCAGCTGATAATAATCCCTGTCCCCCACTTCCCTAGAAGGCAGCTCTGACAAGGAAGTCTGCAATCACAATGAGATGTACCCCTGTGCAGAGCCAGATGTGGGTGGGTGGCTCCTTTGTGGTCCAGATCTTCTAGGATCTTCTAGGATGTACCATGGCAAGCAGTGGGGAGCCTGAACCAAGCAGCATGGCTGTTACCTCTTCTGTGTTCACAGCAGCATCTTCAGTTGTCTTGGTGCCTGGAGTAGGTAACACAGCTGCCTGCTTTGTTGGCCACCAGCTTTCTGGCAGAGTAGGTGGTAGGGAGGAGAGCAAGGGGCTCAAGAGGATTGTGTCTTTGAGCATGCTTTTAATTTGATCTGACAGAATGGCAGCTCCCGGAAGCCCTTCCTACTCTCTCCACAGCATTTCTCTGTAGGTCCCCAGTTTTCACTCTTTTCAGATGCCCAGAGAACTGAAAATGTATCACAGCCCATTTAGGGACCTCGTGTGTATGTGTGAGTGCCTCAGGATCATTTGTTTTGCCCTTTTCTGGTCTACCGTGCTGGCCTTCTCAAGTTTAATGATCATGTTAGTTTCAATGTTTTATATATTTCTCAGCAGGTTTCATCTCCTGGTCATTAAACTTGAGAAGTAAAATCTGCTCATTAAAATGACTGAGTCCATGGCCAGGCATGGTGGCTCATGCGTATAATCCCAGCACTTTGGGAGTCCAAGGCAGGTGGATCACTTGAGGTCAGGAGTTTGAGACCAGCCTGGCCAACATGGCAAAACTGTCTCTACAAAAATACAGGTATACAAAAACTAGCCTGGCATGGTGGCATGTGCCTGTAGTCCCAGCTATTTGGGAGGCTGAAGCAGGAGAATGGCTTGAAGCCGGGAGGCGGAGGTTGCTGTGAAACGTGATCGTGCCACTGAGTCCAGCAGCAGAGCAGTGTTGGGGTTTGTATCCCTGTAGTGGTGACGAAGGATTTAGGTTTTCAGTGAGAACCATTACCTTACAATTTCCTTCACTGAGTTTTCTTCCTTTCCAACCCCATATTCCAATAACAAAGATCTTTAAACCAGATTCTTCACGAGAGACATGAAGGTTTTCATCTTCAAGATTTTTTGCTTTTTTTTTTTTTTTGAAATGGAGTCTTGCTCTGTCGCTCAGGCTGGAGTGCAGTGGCGTGATCTCGGCTCACTGCAAGCTTTGCCTCCCAGATTCAAGTGATTCTCTGCCTCAGCCTCCCGAGTAGCTGGGACTACAGGCATGCTCTACCACGGCTGGCTAATTTTTGTATTTTTAGAAGAGGCAGGGTTTCACCATCTTGGCCAAGCTGGTCTTGAATGCCCGACCTCGTGATCCACCACCTTGGCTTCCCAAAGTGCTGGGATTACAGATGTGAGCCATGGCGCCCAGCAGGTTTTTGACATTTCTAAGCCAAAAGTTCCATTTGATGAGGTCTTAGATGCAGGGGCAATGTGTCCCTTTTCAGATTTCAGATGTTTAGAAAAAGATTTGTCATATTTGGGCCAACTGAAAAACTCTTGATATGAGGGTTTCTATGAAATTGTGCAGAATGTAGGAAATACATTTTAGCACCAACAAAGAGGCATTTAATTTTGAGTGTGCCTGTCTCCTTTGAGATGAGCAACAACTATTTTTCTCTTATTAAAAGAAAATGCATTTGTTTAACAGCACATTTTATATAATCAGCAAATCTAAACTTCTGAATTAGGTAAGCCCTATGGGTTCGTTGTCAGAATTAGTGAATTTATATAAGCAAAGTGCTTAGAAAACAGTGCCTGGTACACAGTGAGCACTCAATATTATTTATTGCTATTATTGTGTTTGTTTATTTTATACCTTTAGAGTATAATTTTGATGTTAGGTTTGGATTGCTGAGGCCAAGCAAAATTTAGATAGAACAACCTAGCTAATCCACTAGAAAGATATTTGAGGGTTATTCCCATCTAAAGATCTATGGGATCTTTGGATATCATCTATGGGAAACAACAGAAGTATGTGGATAAGACAGATATGGATTCAAATCCCACCTTCACAATTTATTAGTGAGGGAACCCTTTGGTAAAATGAGGATGACAAAACCTACTTCTCAGCATTGTGAATGTACAGAAGATCATGAATGTAAAATGTCCATGAAGTGGTAGGTGGTCAACAGATATTACTCTAGCAAAGAGGTTAAGAGCAAGAAAACTCTGGAGCCAAAGGGCCTGGGTTCAAATCCCAACTCTGCCACTTCTTATAGTATGGCCTTGGACAGGTGACCTCACTTCTCTGTGCCACTATTCAATGATAATATTCCTTATTGTCCAACGTTTCGTAAGTTAAATCAGTTAATAAACACACGATGACAATGTGTTGATAACTATTCTTTTTACTTTTAGTAGAATAACTTAAAGGAACCCTGCAGGTGGGAGGGTTATACATAATCTCTGAGGGCCAGCTAGGACCCTCCCCCATTTCCCACCCTTTTTCCTGTGCAATGAAGAGAATATAAGAAGTGACAGTGCCATTCTAAAAGACTAGCCTCGAGTTGGCTCTAATTTATATGACTCGTGCCTGTAATCCCAGCACTTTGGGAGGCCGAGGCTGGCAGATCACTTGAGGTCAGGCGTTGGAGATCAGCCTGGCC